TTTACATTTGATAGAAATCCAAAGAATGAACATAGGTGTAAAGGACATAGGATGAACTCTACTTAACCTAAACCTAACCTAAACCTTACATTTGATAGAAATACATAGCATGAACATAGGAGTAAAGAACATAGGATGAATTCTATCTAACCTAAACCTAACCTAAACCTTACATTTGATGGAAATATGTGTAAAGAACCTGCTGCAAAATTGATCTTGACTTTGATTTTCAAGGTCAAAATTCTCTTTTTCTTGCATCGTATTCTATTCATCACGAAGGTAAAAATTTTCCAAGGAACCATAGGTCGCCAGTCTAATAGTTCTCTTGAAAAATAGCAAAGGAGTTTCTTGATCATTTAACAGCGACTTTATAGTTTTGGATTTCACTAACATTTTATTCATTTTATTCAGTTACAGCACCAGTGTAAGTCCAAATAATCAAATAATAAAACCAACTGTTAACATTATTTGAAATATATGTTACATTATTCACGCCATATTTAGAATTATAAAGTCGCTGTCAGAACACGCAGTCGGCCGCAATGTTAAATGATTGAGAAATTTCTTTGTCACTGTTCAAAAGAACTATTATGGTTCTTTGGAAAAAGTTTTACCTTCCTTGATGAGTAAAATGCAAATGCAAGGAAAAAAGAATTTTTTTTAACCTTGAAGTTCAAGGTCAAGATCAATTTTGCGGCACGCGGACAAACTTTTCTTTCCACCCTCAACGACAATATGAAGTATTTTCTCGTTCTACGAGAGTCTGTCAGAATTTTCTCTGAAGTGTAGGAAAAAGAATAAAAGAAAATTATAAGTAAACTTTCGTGATCCCGAGTCACGATTCAAATCATCAGTTTTCATGCGCGACGAGAATTTCTATTCGGCTTCAATCGTGGTTCATCGACGCAACGATTAAATGACACGGTGGTGGTGAATGGTAGAGACAAGCTGCCTGATTAACTGTGGGAATGCCAGCATCGAGCGATCAACTCGATCGGAATAAAGTTAGAAAAGAAAGAGAGAAAAAAAAAAAAGAAAAGAAACGAGAAAAAAAAAGAAGAAAAGAATGTACCCCGCCCTCGTTCGTTCTGATCTCGTCTCTTCGCTCTAAACTGTTAATCGTTATTAAAAAGTACTCTATGTGTCTATCATGCACGGAAGAAACATGCCGCCGATCGAGGCTTCTAGAAATAAAATCGGTCGATCAAGAGAGAAATTGAAGATTCGAATGAACCTTCGTTGGAAATCGTTTGGCAGTCTGGCAGTTTTTCAAGCAGCTACTTGGCATCGTTATATATATATAATGTACATACATACATACATGTATCGCACGCATACACGTTACACGTATATGTATGTATATAAATACAGGTGACAGAGAGAAACTTGAATCCTAGAGTGTGTACGTCACATGCATTCGGCGTTGCATAAAATCGTAAAAGGAACGGATGCTCGAGGCGCGATGGAAGACTCTGGTATCACTTTCAAAAGAATTTCGTGGGGAGGATTTTTTAGTTTCTCCCTTGGTTCTTAATAGAAAAGCAAAGTAATATCGAGAGCAAACGAGTGGACTGACATTTAACACAAATTGGTCAAATTCAAAATTGATGTGAACGTGAAACTCAACATCAGTTGATTTCATTGTGTCATCTTGTTTGATTAGGGAGTAATCATCAAGGTTTGTGCTATCTTGAATGAGAGTTCAATCACGATGGTCTACAAGGTCACAGTTTAGTATCAAAATAGTTGAAACAATGATATTTTCATTACAGAAGTACTTGCATATTAGTAATTATATGTAGATATTAGTAGTTTGAAAAATGTCAGCTAATTAGAAAAGAAGTGTCTTACTCCATTTTTGCTCTCTTACATTGCTTTGTCAACACATTAGCAATCATGCTCTTTTAAATAAATGAAACAGCACGATTGCTCGCAAGTACACAGAAGAGATTAGATTAGATTAGATTGAAAGAAACAGAGAGTCTTCGAATTCGCTCTATATAAATCCTGGTTCCACTAAGAATATGTAATATATGTATATATATATTTATTTATTTATGTGGGAGAAAGATGCGCATAACCCTCTAAAGCCGTATATTTTACAGCACTCTAGCATTCGTCGGAACTGCAGTGATCGTCAAAAATGAATAAAGATTTGTATATTAATGGCACCGGGTGATGTGTACGCGCATCATTGAACGATGCAGCTCCTGGGCAAATCGATTTCGAAATTTCCCATCGTCTAAACACCATCGTCTAAACAGCATCTAAAATTATGAAAAAAAAAAAAAAAATTTATGAAGAAAGAAAGGAAAATGCCAGAGAAAGAAAACGATACATACAGGATGAGATGAAAAGTAGTCCAGCAATATTTGCATGGTGTGATCCCGGATGATTCAAGTCATTGAAGAAAACAGTTCAAAACGTACAAGAACGTCGTTTGGTACATAATTTAACTTTATACTGGGACACAGGTGGGACAAACCTCTCTCATTCCATTTCATTTATGCTACTCAGCCTCTCTCTTCTCAACTTCTCAAAATCTATCTTTCCATTTCCAAATTTGGTATCAAACATATGTTTCTGTTCTACCTTTGATCGATCAATCTCGTGAAGGTACATAGCATTGCCAGTTCTGTAATTCAATATTAATTGAATTAATGTAATCGTCAAGTGGTCTAAAGTAATCTCAGTGATCTGATCTCTCGTTGCATTCATGCAGCTACCCTTGTGTACTCTTTTTCATTGCCTTGATTGTTCAGGATGACACACCACCTAAATATTGCCCACTATTCCAACTTCATATCCCTATAAAATAAAGAAAGATAGAAAGAGAGAAACAAAAGGAAAGAAAAATGGCAAACAAAAAGAAGAAATTGTAAAAAGATGGTGCGACAAGATTAGGCAAAGAGGGAAATAAAACGGGGAACTCGATTTACCCAGGCTACTTCGTAGACGTGCTGAGTGAGAAAATACAGTATCAGTTTCTCTTTCAAGCGTGTGTACAGCGATTGCACATCCGTGATACCCTTCGGAACCTTTCTCTCTAGAAATGCGTTATGCCGGTCGCTCCCGGAGGAGGAGACGCTCGCGCGAGTTGCATAAAAGATCGGTATACGACACGACTAGAAGAGGAAGAAGAGTAAGAAGGAAGAACAAGAAGAAAAATAGCAAAAAGTAAAAAAAAAAAAAAAAATATATCGTGGTCTCGCGAGCTGCATTCTTTCGTTCGATTCGATCTTTCTCTCTTTTTTTTTTATATTTTAACACGGAATATAGATCCATTTGTTGTCGGCAAGCCGCCTCGTCCCGAGGTGTCGATCTAAAAAAAAAGTACTATGTTTCGAATCTCAACGTAAAAAAACGCTCTCTCAACAGTTGCTCATCCGTGATATATAAATAATTTAGGTAGGTTTACATGTATAAAATCAACCCGAATAAGTATATATACATATATATATATATATACATACATACATACAATAATGATAATTTTAATTATACATTTGGTGACTACAGGGAAGGAAGGAACACGACAGTTTAATTTATATTTTTATACGTATTGATCATTATATAGTACCTGTACTTATATACTTTTATACGATAATGTATATCTTTTGCTAAAAAGCAATTGAAGTTGAAATCCAGTACATTATTGATACATTTCCAGGGTCACTAGAATGGATCATCTTAGTTGGACTTTGGCATCTTTTTCTTTGATTTAAGGAATGCTTTTCATTTTCAGTTACATGTTAATTAATATTATACTGATAGTTTTTAGCTATTGTGTTTCTCCCTTGTGATCTTCATTTCTAAAAATTGGAATATATCTAGTAATGCGTATGATATATATGTATATGTATATATATATATATATATGTATATGTGATATGTATATAGAGAAAAATCACAGTTGAGAACAATAATAATAATATATAATGATGTACAATCATAATAACGATGGTCAAATATAATCATAATGAGAAGAATAATTAATCGAATCAATATAAATATAGAGTTTTAATAATAATCAATAATATAAGAAGTGTACGTAAGAAGTAGCAAAGATGGCAATAAAAAGAATGAAGAAAGATAAATAAATACGTAAGAAATGAAATTGCCTAAAACTGGGCCAGGGCGGCAGGACGTTCACGGTGAGCTCCTCGTCGGAATCCTGTTGGGACCGTCCGTTCGCGGCCCTGCTCACGCCGATCTGGGCTTCCCCGTCGGTCTTGAACCTTTACGGACAACAGGCCAGCCAAGCAACGATCAACAATCAACAATAATTTACCACAACATACGATACGAAAATTTTCTAATGTCTTTTCTTTTCTTTTTGGTCTTATATTCTTTGCATTAATACCTATCATATTATGTGCTCTAACGTAACCTCGTTCTCTCTCTCTCTCTCTCGCACACTCATGCTCGTGCTTTCGGTTTTTGTAGTTTTTTTGTAACGTTGATTTTATCGTTAGTCGATTCAGTGGTCTGTTAATTGAATGTTTCTCCCACATATATTTATATGCGTGTATTTCGTAGATCTTCAGGCTGCTTCTTACACACCTCTTTTGGATCCATAAGCGAAAGAGGGAAATACACGCGTATAAGAGGGAAAATGTCGTTCACACGAGCCCATTCTTTCTTCTCTCGTTCTCTCATCCGACATTCTCAGCGTGACTGCGCTTAAGAAAAGAAAAGAAAAGAAAAAAAAAAAGAAGAGATGTATTCGTATATGTATATATTCGTCAGCCTGTTGGATTTTCGAATACAGACCAAGCTTGTCCACTCGCTCTGCGCGGCCGTCCACGTGGTGGTCACAGAGAATCGAGGCTGCACGAGTTCGAGTTAATTATCTCTAGCTGAATACGTATTCGTCCTTTAAAACTCCATTTAAAGAGGAACGAACCCAAGCTTCTTTGAGTCTTCTTTAAAACGCAAATCTTCAAAGTTGGACAGGCTGATCCATCGCGAACGAATTCGTATTCATTGGGATTAATGCACTAGGATTCAACACCTCTCCCAGTGTTTGTTCATTCGACAAAGGAAAAAACAAAAATCACAATGCAAGAAACCTGCAAATTGCAAAAGCTTTTAGAAAGTTTTGGAAGCGAAGATAATTGAAAGATGAAATGTAATTTCTTTTGTTGGGGAATGAGGGGCCACCGAGAGAGGCGTCAGTCATTCAAATAGAATGGATCGCATGTTGTTTAATCCATTCGACCTCGACGGGCAACAAATCTGTCCCTACCTCGAGAAGATTTTGCGCACCAAGTGATCCTGCGCTTGATCTAGCTGCGGCTCGTTCTTCCTCCTCTCAGCCAGCTCCTTTTCTCGACGGACATCGGCCACCTTCCGGAAGATCAACTGCACAAAGTGATTTAACTCCATTATACCACGTTCAAAATATTAACGAGCATCGAGTTGCACAGGCTCACGAAAATATGTACGAACAGTTGTGGACATCTTTTGACGAATGACGTGCCATATACATATCTTCAAATTTCAATTAACATTTATTAGAAGTACAGAAATTTTGCAGAAATCGTTAATTGTTAAAGTTAATTCTATTACATTAAATTATACGTGCGTCCCTGTAGTAAATACAGGGTGGGCCAAAAAAAATCATTTTCTACCAAAATAAATAATTATATATTTTAAAAAAATTTCCTTTTTAATGATTTTCAAAACATAATGAAAACATCATGTTCGAACTCAAAAGTGCAGTTTAAAATTTAAAAAAAAAATCGGTGGGTAGAAACTTTTGGCCCACCCTGTATTTTGTAATTAGCATATACACCTTCAGATTGGTTTCAAAGTTTCATCATCGAAAAAAACGTAATCAAAAAGATCGTGCTTGAACTTGAATTTAGTTTAAAATTTGAAGAAATTAATGGGAAGAAACTTTTGGCCCACCCTGTATTTTGTAATTATATGAAACACTTTCAGGTTAGTTTTCAAATTTCAAAGTGTTTTATACAACACACGCAGTATGGACGTTTGTGGCGGGCATTCAAATACCTTCGCGAGCCCGTGAGAATTATTCTTCAAATTTTCTTGCTGTTTCCTTACATCTTGTATTCTCTTGCATTTTCTGCAACATTTGCAGAGTATGGAATTCGTTATGGAACGCAGTATGCCTGAAGTGATTAATCAGGATGACACGTCGTCGCAGTTGGAACGACGAGGGATTATTTATGGGTTCCGGAACAATTATTTACGCTCCTTTTGCTATTATCATTAATGGTTTAGAACGCGTCGAACCTTTTATCGGCTTTTTTTTCACGCCTTCTACTATGTAGGTGATCGTTATTCGGTTGATTATCAGGTGTTAATAATCGCTCTTACGTGCCCACGTCACAGATGAAACTATCGAAATAATTGAAGCATCTTCGTGAAAAATACAGCAAGTACCAAAATTGAAAATATCTATTCTTTTTCTTTCTTTTTTCTTTTTATCGAAAAATTATTTACGCTCTATGTAAAATGGTGTTTGTACGTAGCAAAGTAAGGTTAACTCAGTTACCCAAACAACTTGAAATTCGATTTTGTATTTTGCGCGGGATAATTTAAACTTGCGTATCGTGACAGCAAATGGCGAGGAATCAAAAATGGCGGTTCAGAGGCCACATTGATCAACTCCGTAAGTTGAGAAGCACCTATAGAAAAATGGTGATTATTCGTTGTCTCGAAATTTTTAAACAATCTAAAAATCATCAGTCGACTTCGTTTGTCAAAGTGCTGAGCTTTGAGATAAAAAGTATGTATTTGTGATAGATTGAAAAAAAAACTTTTATTGAAATAAAATATTATTCGAAAATTTGTTTGATTCGACAGTGATATGCACACAAGTGTACTAAAATTATTTATTTCAAACATACGAGTGGGAATTGTTAATTGAAATAATAATTGTTTAAGGCGTGTTATTTAAAATAATATTTCGATATTGCTTGCGTTGATTGTTTCAAATATCATTTCGGGAGAGGGAATGGAGAAAAAACAAATAGCAATTAGTAATATCGAGTATTATTCCTAAGGCTACTGTTTTACTCAATCTATGGTGTACATAAACATGACATTAAAATACATATACGTAATCACTCGTGTAGACAGAATTCCATTCACGTGCAAATGATTAAGAACGATTTCAAAATAATATTCAAATATCATTTGTTGCACGAACAATGTAAGGAACGATTCATTTCGAACAACTATTTCTAGTGTTTTCATGAAAAATAAACGTAATTCCCATATGCTTGTAGAATCAAACAGATTTCAAATAATATTTCACTCGATAGAAAGGCGAATGATCGTTCAAAAATAAATAAACGAAACACTTTACGTAGAAAATAATTTCTACATATATATTTATATTTCGTTTGAAACATTTTACCCAGCATTGTTTTACATTGCGCTTTGTTTTCTATCTCTCTCTCTTTCTCTCTCCCAAAAAAAAAAAAAAATAGATTTTTGGCACTTACGGTACTCTCTAAAAGGATGCTTCGATTCTCAAACTCTCTGAACACTACTAACGTTTCCGGAGAGATGGAGAAGGGTCTCTTCGTTCGTTAAGGAAATCGACGTGGGTAATTTCAGTGACGCAACGGCTCTCTGCGTGTTTTAATATTCCTTTGGTGGAATGAAACGCAGGTAACTCTCCGAGTGATTGAATTTTTTTTTCGATAATTTGGTTTCCAACGCCGGAAAAGTGTCGCTCTCCTACTGTTTCCCTTTTTCTTTTTTTTCCCCGGACAGAAAGTTGCAGGTTAAAGGTGGGGAAGCTACGTTTCGCTCAACGCGCATGCGCGGCCAGAGCAGTCGATAGACGTACTGGTAGCGAATTGCTTGCATTCGCAACTAACCTCAAAACATCTTATTTATAGTGTCGGCTCTCGGGAAGCTCCCGGACCGAACGAGTTCCGTCTCGGAACTTCGTTTCGCGGATGCTTGGCGAAGCATTCTGAGAAAAGTACGCGAACCGGCGTACTTCCGTTGTCGTGAGTAGTGTCAAATCGAAGTCTTCACCGAGAAAAACTGAAGTATATGGATTGCTGTGGAAAGTACTCCTCGCGTTCGAAAGGTTTGTAAATTACTTTCCTTCTTTTCTTACTTTGCACGACTGTCGATTATTATCATCATTAACTGCCGCAAAATTATTAATTTTCATTGTAAATATCAATGAGTTGCAAGGTAGATTGATTGTTTGATAGTCATATGTTTTGCTTCTTTTATCGTTTGCAATTCTATTCAAAGTAATGTGGAAAGCAATCTGTTTCAGATGGGTCATGGTTCAAGCCGATCTGCTTCATCCGCGAACATTCTTTCCGCGGACGAGCTGACCTTGGTGGAGAATCTGTTCAAGTCCATGTCTCGGAGTTCCGGTTCCATAAAACGCGAGGACATATTTAAGCACTGGTCCATCCATTTGGACGATGCGCTACTGCAGTTCGTAGTAAAGTTCCTTTGTCACGAACCGGGGAAAAGAGTATCTGCCATAAATGGAGAGAACTTTGGGAGACTGTACGTGTTTGCCATTCGTGGCAGTCCAGAGGAGAGGACTAGTCTGATTTTCAATGGCTTCTCGGAGGAGGAGCAGAAACATGAAATACCCACCGCGACGTTCCTTCAGTATGTTCAAGCCACCATTAATTCTTATCTGAGACTGCAAAAGAACTCGGGCAATGTACACTACTTAACGTGGAGCAGCATCGGTTGTACAGTAAACACTAGGAGGATAGGGATGAGATCCAGAAGTTTATGCGAAGATCTAGTCAAACAAGCTGAAACTTTAACTATGGATCAAGTGGAGAACTGGTTCTCCGCAGCGGCTACCTTCAAGATCATCCAATCGCACGTTTTTCAGTGCCTTTTCTTGGTCTCTCAGAAGAAAGGGGACAAGAATACAAGCAGTAGAATAAACGATCTGAACCTCTTGCCGGGCTGCAAGGGCTTGGAGAATATACCACACTTCCCCAGCATTCTAGGGCTAGGCGACGTTTTGTTCTTGAATCTGAGCTTACCCCATGAGCTTCGCAACGAATGGAGATTTCTATTTTCTAGTCAAGTGCATGGGGAATCATTTTCCACGATGCTTGGAAGGATCACCATGCAAGGATCGACCATTATAATACTTCAGGATACCGATGACCACGTGTTTGGAGGCTTTGCCTCCGACAGTTGGGTAACTGGACCAAATTTCATTGGAAACCAATCTTGCTTCTTATTCAAACTCGAACCAGATATACTTACATTTTCTGCCACTGGCTACAACAATCATTTTCAATACCTAAATCTTTATCAACAAACTATGCCTAATGGTCTGCTTATGGGAGGTCAGCTGAACTATCCAAGCTTATGGCTGGATTGTGAGTACGGAACTGGAAAATCAAGTGCATCCTGCACAACATTCCAGAATTACGTGCAACTAAGTGGCAAGGAGAATTTCAAGATCAAACATTGCGAGGTTTGGGGTGTGGGCCCTATCCCGGAAGTTGAAGAAGAAAGACGGGACGCGAGATCGATTTTGGATCAAGATACTACCTCAAAGGCCATACTGGAGATGTCTGGCCGTAAGATGTACAGTGATGGACAGAGAGAAAAAAAGGAGTAATTGTGACACTGAAAATTTGTCTGAGATTCCATGAGAAAGAGGAAGAAAAGGATATGCCAGGCTATTCAGAATTGTACCAGCTGTTTTAGAAACAGAAGGAAATTATCTGTAAATCAAAAATAGAAGGAAAAGATGATTTCGTGGAATGGTTCCTCTCTCCAAAGGGATAATATTACGAATTATTGAAACAAGATCTGTGTTTTTTCAAGCTTGTACTCTCTTTTTTTCTGTCTATTTGCTAGCTGATGTTTTTGAAGAAAAAAGAAAAAAGAGAAAAAAAGAAAAAATTCCACGTGTCTCTAACGGCCTGATCTCTCGTACGTCATTTTTTCAACTGACTCTGCGATCGATAGTGCAACATTAAAAGAAAAATATACAGAGAAAAAAAGGAATGGAAAAAATAAAAAAAAAAAGAGATTATATCGTGCGAGTTGCTGTCTTTTGAATGCCTATTATCTAGTGCCTGGTGAGTCATCAATCATTTTTAATCGGACTTCTTGATACGCTGAATAAAGTCTATCGACGAGGAGAAACTTGTACAACACATATTCATTACTACTGTTACATAAGACTGTGTGTGTGCATATGTGCGTGCGTGTGTATTCGTGTATGAACCGCCTGGCGGACAACGTTTATTCTCTGCCTGTCGGGAGAACAAAGCCAAAGAGTAAACACTGCACTGTTGTTCAGTATAAAGCTAAGAGATCAATAAAGAATTGAAATCTCAAGATTTCAATCTTTTCATTTATCCCTTTATCCTTTACTAAATTCTTTATTCAAAATTAATTTCAACTCGATATTTCCATTTCTTTATCTTTTAAAGCCGTTTAAAATTAGGAATTTTAAGAAATTATAAATTTTCAGAAATAGCAGGGGGGAGGGAATTATTTAAATAAATGCTCGGTATATAAATTGAGTATAATACAAGAGAGAGACTAAAAACAGAACCAAAAAGTAGAAAACACTTACCCGGTGGCTAAGGTTATAGGTTAGAACGAGATTTCTGGCGAAGGAGTTGGCGAAGGCCTGATAAAAATCCAACACCTCCAACAATCGATCTCTTTTGATCGTGTGAAGATCACAGTAGGTTAGAGCTCGAACATTGGCGGCGCTTTGTCCTATGGACGGGTTTGTCCAGAAGCTGTCGCCGAACACGTCTCCCTTGCCAAGGATCGCCACGACCTCGTCGTCCTGGATCACCTCGAGACTTCCGGTTACGATGAAGCACAACGAGTCGATAGACTCGCCCGTGTGATACAATAGATCACCAGGTGCGCTGTGGGACATTGTGAAATGCATCGCTAGGGCACGGAGGCAACCATCAGAGGCCAATCTGTAAACACGAGTTGTAAACATAACCTCATTAATTATAAAATACTGATTAATGATTGTATATATTAAAAGATTAATATTAATATTATTAAATATATCAATATAATGTTGTATATTATTATTATATTGATACTAAAGATTATATATTAATATTATTATTAATATTAAAGATAATTTTATAATATATAAGTTCAAAGTAAATGAAATGCTAAATATTCTTTGATATATATCTAACAATATATAATCTTTAATATATTAATATATATAATCTTTATTTAATCTAATCTTATTAAAGATTAGATTAAATCTTATTATCTAAATAAAATTTATATAATCTTTATTTAATATATTTATATTAATATTAAAGATTATATATTGTAAGATATATATGAAAGAATATTTGGCATTTCATTTGCTTTCAACTTTTTGGTCTTTTTATTGGACTTTATTTGGACATTTTAACTTTTAACTACTACGCAGTGTCTGTCGTTTTGTAATTCCAAATCTAAAGAAGAATGAAGCTTGCCTAAATGCAGGGTGTTCGTTGAAGACCTTCCTATTGAGATGAACGCAGATATCCGCCTTCATATCCTTGGGGCAGTAGTTGAGTACCTTGTCGGTGTCTAGGCCCTTGGTCATCGCCCAGGTGCTCACCACGTAATCCATCACGCGTTCGCTAAGAGCCTTTGGCACCTCGTGCAGCTTCATAAACTCCCTCACGTTGTTTAGCATGTCGTGATACTTGGCCGTAGCAGACGTCATCTGTTGGATTATCGTAGTCACGTGACCGAAGATCGTGGCGTACAACAGGGCTGAGAACAGTGAAACCAAACAATCATAATAATGAAACACTCGCAATAAGAATCGTGGAGAACTTTTCATTGTCAGTCGGCAGGGCAGATTTCTTTGAATTTCAAAGAATTCTTTGATCACAGTTTGCTTTCTTGGATTTCTGAGGCAGGCATCGACTCGAGACCTTTGAGTTTCAAATAAAATCGAATGTTTTCAGTATGTATATGCATATCGGGGAAAAAGATCAAAGATACGTGAAGTTGTCGCTGTGATTCGAGAGGTAAACAAGTTACATCTACGACTGTTTGTGAGAGGTTATAGGGATTCGAAGGTAAAACCGATAACAACTCGATGCAAATTCTTGGAAAATGATTCAACTTCAAGCTTTGTCTCTTTCAAGCATACACTTGGAGAAAGATGTAAATATCGTACCGGCAATGATCATCATGCAGATGGTAAAAATCTTCTCGTTATCGGTCTCGGCGGCGACGTTACCAAAGCCCACAGAGGTCATGCAAGTCATCGTGAAGTACAACGCGGTGACGTACATGGTTCTCCTGGATGGCCCCGCGACCAATTCCGGCGCGGTGCTGGTATTGGTCCACAGATAGCTGTACGGTGACTGGGTGACGTTTGCCAGCTTCCACAGCCAAGAGTACTGGACTCCATTGTCCGCGTCCGACCTTCCTATCGAGTACCTTTAACCCAATGACCTTTCTTATTACTCTCGTCGCATTTACCCCTCTACCATTTTACATTCTCTACATTATAAAGTATATAATATAAATACTTAGGGTGTTTACAATTTTTGCGGATAAATTGAGGTAACTGTGTTTGCTTAAGAAGTAAAAAAAAAAAAGAAAAAAAGAAGGTCATAGGGGCTTTCAGTTACTTCAACATATTCTTCTTGTGAAATGGGAAATGCTAGATATAATATTATAATTTGTCACCTTCCAGTTTGTCTGGAAAAATTGAAAACGCCCTGTAAAAAATGAAGGGCGAGTGGGATTCGCTGGGAACGCGTGAAAGAAGCACGCATGCTTTTTGGCTGATGGCGAGATTTCCTATAAGCGTCAGCGTCTCAACTCTTGGACTGGGCAAAACATGCTCCTATATCTTTCTACACGCGATTGCTAAATTCAAATGACTGGATAATCTACCTCAATGTCTATAATCTTCTTATCTTCCATTTTTTTCTGTATCTTTGCTTCAAACATGCAACGTAACCTGATAATTAATAAAAAAAAAAAAAAAAAAAAACAATACTGAGAACTACATTACCGACGAAAAATAATCGCATGAAATAAGTTGAATATGTTAATAAATCTGTACTATATACGTTTGCATATCCGTGTATATCAAAAACTACACGGATTAAAACACGAATACTTTCAAAACTATAATATCATAATTTAATTGATATGTACATATTGATATATTGGCATTGGTATACAGATTAATATTATTGTATCAATATACGTATTGGTATAATGATATAATATACATGTTAAAAATTATAATTTGATTGATATATGCATATTGATATATCAGTATTGGTATACTACAATATTGCATTGATATAATATTGATATTATTATATCAATATACATTGGTATATTAATATATTATTATGTTAACATACATATATTGTTTATATTGATAATATACATATCCAAAACTGTAGTATCATGATATAATATCATAAATGCGTGTGGCGCTTATAAGAAATCCCATCTTGAGATTCGCGCGTTAAAAAACATCTTCTCTCCATCTCTTCGAATAGATACATCTTCTTGTTTCATTGTGGCCACTCTTTGGAATGGAAAAGGAGTTGGCAAGAAGGATCACGGTCAAACATACTCGAAACTTCTTTTGGGAACGGACACGATTCGCCAACAGAGAATAATAGCGTTTCGAGCAGAAGAGCTAGGCGTTACGGTCGTGGTTCTCCGGCGATTGTCGATTCGACGTTGGAGGAATGTTCAGGGGATACAGAGGAAACGTTCTTTGTCGAGGAAAGGTTAGCATCGTCGTCGACTTTCTTCTCTCTCTCTCTCTCTCTCTCTCTCTCTCTCTCTCT